GGGTCTTGTCCCAAGCAGGCAGAGAGAGCGAGCAGAGACCCACAGAGAGCAGATCCTACTCTCTTCTTATGGATCAGAGACCATTGTTCCAGAAAGCACCACGGTCTGAATTAGCCAATCACCATTGGCCAGGTACATATTCTGTTAGAGGCAGTTTTTAACCTATTGTCTATTTCTCTGCCACTTATTATGACCCTTGTGCTGCTTCTTTGCTCTGCACTTATCTGGTAGGGCAAGAGGCCTGCTCATTCTGTCCTTGAGTGAATCAGTGAAAAGGCATCACTCCTGTTTTGCTGACTTGAAAGGCATTTGTTGTTTAGTCTTATATAGTGGGGAAGAAGAGGGACTGTTCCCCACAGCTTACACTTTTTTTTCATAAAGAAGAACTGTTCAGGCTACTTCTCGGTGTTAGTGAGCCATGTACTAGCACACTATTTCCACTGGAAATAACTGGAACTATTCAGGAAGAAAGGGCCCCTTAGCTGAGACTTGGTGATGGGTTTAGGGAGTTTCCTTGTGGGTTTTTTTCATCATCCCTACTGGTGTATGGAAAGATGGGTATGGAAATAGCTGTGCAGTTGTGGCTTGTTAGTAGAACTTGATGGCTGTTTCTCCCAGACTGCTTACCTGGACAAGAGGCAGAGGAGGCCTTGAGTCAAGGGAGGTAGAAAAGTTACTAGTTTAAAATCAGAAAACTGGGCTTTGGTAGTTATTTGGCACAACAGAATCATGCAAATTGCATTGGTTGTTTTAGGCCATGCTGGCAAGCTCATGATTCTGAATGGCTGTTGTGATAATGCAGAAACCAGATGTGTATTTCTTACAGAAAAGCTGTTTCAAAATTGTTATATGTTAATAAAATGGAACATAAAATGCTAGGGCTTTTTAAAGTGAAATATTATGAAATTAAGTAGTCTTGTCTTAAGGGCAAATAGGTATCTTTTTGTGTTTATGAAGAGGTAGAAAAGCTAATTTGATGACTGTCATCATCAAGATTACTAACTGGTATCATTCCATTTAGATTTAATAACTTCCTGTATTGCTCCATAAAAGGGACTCTGATTATTTGTGTGTTTTCTAGGGAGAACTTCTTGAATTTGTCAGGTTGTTCCAATTTAACAGATATTTCCAATATAACTGGAAATAGTCACTTGTACAGAGGATGCACACGTACTCGTGTACTTTGAAAGTTAATGATCTTGAGGACAAACCTACTGGTCCTGACCTTGATGAGCTGCAAACTGGTTGCACTGAATGTGTGTTTTCATTTAACTGCTTAATGAGATATGTTAAATAGATGTAACTCTGAGACTGATGTCTCATTATGACCAATTATTATTGCTGGGTACCTCTGAAGATTGAGACTGAAAAATGTAGGACTGGAAGACAGAAAATGGGACTTTGAAAGGTATCAGCTCTTTCAAGCATTGTGGTGTAGCATCACCAAGCTGCTTGAGCACTGCAGTAAGAGGCTGTAATAGTGTCAGTACTGAAGTTTAATTGGTAATCAGGGTTATTGTACTACCTAATTTTCAGTCTGATAACATGCTGTTCATCCTGCCTACTTAGTTGGTAGGTAGGTAATTTCTTTAAAGAGGGAACCATGTTTTATTTTGTACTTTCTCATTATAATTATGATAAGGGATAGCACGTAGATAATGCCTGAACTGGTACTGTTAGCATGGGAGATTTAGGAGCAAATGAGACAAAGATGTTTCAACTTTCCTGAGTATGACTCATAGGATGAAATGTATATCCAGCCTGATTTTTTTTGCATTTCTAAGCAATTTTTGCTTTCTAAAACATGTCTGCCGGTCTTACTAGTTTTGTGGAATTCTTAATCTTGTTGTTGCAGATGGATTTGGTAATTTGCATTTCTTTTTTGCCATATGTAAATACCACAAACTAACAGAATTATCCTTAAAAATATAGCTTACATGTGCAGGCACAAATCCATAGTATATGTTTAATTTTTTTGTTTGTTTCCTATAAACCAGGTGTTCTACTCTTTAAACATATTTAAATCAGGAAAAAAACAATTATTTACTATTTTAAAAGCTGTGGAGAAAATATATTCTCAGAAACAAAATATGTTTATGTTAACTAATAGTATTGACAGGTATAATTATTGTTTAAGGTTGTCTGTCTTAACTCTCAGAAATTCCTTATTAACTAATATTAGTTCAGTTGCTTCTAAAGTCAATAATTTTTAAAAGTGAGTCTTAGCAAATTGAAGTCTTTTTGTAATGTTACCTACCAAGCGTGCATTCATTAGGTAATTTTTCTGTCTTAAATTAAAAGGCTGATGGATAACTGGTTGCTGATGATGAAGTAATATGCAAAAAGCTTCTAAAGCACATGTAAAAGGAATTTTCTTTTCCCCTTACTTTGTAGTGTTCAGTGTGGATTGCAGCACAGTCGAATGTCCTCCTGTTCAACAAGTTGTTTGCCCTCTGGATAGCTATGAAACCCAAGTCAGACTGACGGCTGATGGCTGCTGTACCCTGCCCACAAGGTTGGTGTCTTGATGGCTGAGTATTTTTAACTTATTCTCCCCAATTCACGTACTGGAAATACAGGATAATAATGCATCCTTCTGTGGCAATAAATGTTTATACAGAAAAAAAGATACGTGAAGCAAGTTAAAAATCCATAAGGCTGATTGAAATACAAAATCTACCTTTTTCAAGCAGAAAAAAATATATTCTCAATACAGATGCATGAAACAATTTTTTGCTAAAATCATTTGAGGAGCTTGTGCCTCTAGGTTGATTTTCAATGTATTAAATTAATTTTACAAAAGTGAATTATTTTGAGTAGTTTTTTAAGGTCTTTGATGGTAAGGAATTAATGGTGGAGATGACAGAACATATGCCAGAAAAGGTCTTGCCTGGTTAAAGAAAAAAAGGTATTTTTTTATATGTGGAAGACCTCAGTAAGAAGCTGAAGGACAGTGGCTGTCTGGAACTGTTGGGAAACAGAACTTTCAAGTACTTGCTTCCATCTTACTACTGTTGTTGTTCAAGTAGGTATAATCCATTACAGCTGAGAAAAATAAATCAGTTTTGGAGTTGGTTTAGTTCCAAAATTCTGCACCGCTGTTTTCGCTTCTGTCTTTACAACAGAATTACCAAAACCTGAGTCATCAACGTGCCAAATAAATACAAATTGAAGCAAAAAGTGCCATCAATGAAAATAGTTTACAAGTAATAGATCTTTTGTAGATGTAACTATTTATATATTTATTCAGTATGAAGGTCTTAGCACAATACAATGTTGCCGTATTCTACATCCCTTGTGAGATTGTCAAGGAGTGATAAACTTGCTAAGAATTCAGAAAGTAGAAAATAGCAAAGGTTGTGTAATGAATCAAGGATCTCCCCTGTTGGGCACCCTTTAGGTACACATTTAATACAGTGACTGCTTTGAAACTGTCGTTTCCATGAAATACGAGGATCTCTTATTGCATGGAGTGTTAAAAATGTATATATTTTTTAAAAAACTAAGACAGGGAAAGATATGTGAAGAACTTCATATAGTAGAGTTATCTGGCCTGTTAAATTTTGAAAATATTATTTCTGAACTTGACAAATTTTATTTGTAATTGTGGAATGCACATTGTAGTCTACTAGTTAAAAAAATAATCACTGTCCTTATTCAGCAAATGCTACAAATGTTCTTTCTTTCATAGTTGTTGTTTTCTGCTTTGGTTTTCTGAATTTTGGACCAGAACATGGTATAGATTCTCAGTATCCTCCCTTTATTCTTTAACATATTCTCATTAACTTTCCCAGGAAATACTATAGTTCCGTATTACTTGAGAGCTGACCTAGCTAATTGAAATTGCATGGGAGACTGTGGGTTTTTAGCTAGTCATCATACTGGCATTGCTGCCTGTGCACTTCAGCATGTTCAAGACAACAAGAATAAAATGCTACTGACGACTATTCAGTATAAAGTCAAAGAAGCAATCTCAAGTTAAAATTTCTTAAATTTCTGGATCAGATTGTCTCAGAAACCTTGACACAATAGGAATCTTAGATTAATGGTAGAATTTTGCTGCCAAATTTATTTGAACTTGCTGGATTAAAAACTGATCTATAGGTCAAGTTATTTTTATTTCCCAGAAGGAAAACTGTGTTCCTGTTTTCTGCAGTTTAATATGAGCTGTGGTTTGATTTTTCCATTGCTTAGGTAGAGGGAATGAAAAATATTCACTTTATTCTTTGTAGATGATAACTTCAGTTTTCCTTCTATCAGGGTATGTTGAGTACCAAGAAAATAAAACTTCATTTACTTCAAAACATAACCAGTTGGAAATATTTTCTGTTTCTAGCACACACATTGGAACTGATCTTAACTAAAACACCTAGAGTAAACATGTTCTTGAAAGAATCTTTTTCTTTCTTTGGTAATGTTTAAAAATATAGCCAGTTAACTATCAGAAACATATTTCTCTTTGTGCATGGTACTTAAGTGACAAAACACATAATCCCATCTCCTGTAGACAAAGACCCCGATTGTATAGGCAGGCTTAGTGTCTGTGAAATATTAGATAATTGTGAACTGCAGTGAAACTTCTTGGAAGTCAGATTGCTGTGCATTACTGGGATCAGAGTTTGACAAGGGATCAGAGCTGGGATGGATGGGTTCTTAGCTCCTGGAATCTTAGGATCAAATCTGAGGAGGTTTTTATGTTAATAGCTGTCCTTCTGGATATGTAAAGCTACAAAAAAACTTAAATAGCATAACCTATTCTGAGTCTGCAGGCAGACTGAAACAATTTTAAATGTCTTATACTCCTCCATTAATTTTTAATTTTGTGACTCAGTCTGTGTTCCTGTATATAGTTATTCTGTGGGTTGCTGCATTTTTTTGCCTTCATTCAGCCAAAGCAATAATGCACTTTTTAATAGAATAGCTGAGGAGAAGAGCAGCTGAATCTGGCACAAATAAGATAATACAGGTACTTCACATGTTGTGTACCAGCTGGAAATGTATTTAGTTATTTAGATTTTAATATACTGCTGTGCTTCTTAAGGAAGACAGTGCCATAATCATCATGTGCTGTAGTGAAAGATAATACTTGAAGGAGACAATGAAGGAACACATGCCTGGGGATAATCAGAAAAGAAATGTTGGATGAAGTTTGGAGGGAAGAGAAGTGTATGTATGAAAGGAGAGCGAAAAGAAAAACTAAGTTCAGTTACTTGAAAGATGAAAGTCAAATAATTTGAACTCAGGTTCAGTGTTTCCTCAAATTTCAGTAAACAGTGGAGCTTTATATTCAAGGGAAAGTGCAGATTTATGGATGAATAACTCTACACTGGGAAGAGGGGAAGTTTTTCCTCAGTTCTGGAATTTTTGGCTGAACTTACGATGAAATACTAACATCACATTGTCTGTAATTCAGTTTACGATCACTTAAAGCCATATCACATTTTAATCAGTAGAATGAAGTTCAAAAGAAATGGCACTCTTTAAGCTTCATGAAACTGTTTGACATTATGGACTTTGTCAATAAATTACTTTCTGTTGTTTGCTTACTGGCACTGAAATAAAAGCTTAATACCAGCAGAATTGGAGATTGGTCAAGGAGAGTATCCTGGTTGAGGATGGATGGTGTGTTACGTAGTTAACAGCTGACAACTTCACATACAGCAGGAGGAGATTGACTTCTGTCCCACACCTTGTTCTTGCCTGCTTTCTTGTATGTAATATGCTAGGAAAACAGATCCTTAAATTTGGTGTTAAGTTGGTATTTGTTTTATGAATGAGCTCCTGGATGCATATTCATAATATTGAAAACTTGCAATGCCAGGGAGAGAGTGGGAATAGTAAGCAAACATCTGATACTGTAAGTTATTGTACTTGCATTGAGAGGTTACATTTATTTTCCCACTGATTTATAATGCAATACTGCAAATAGAACAGCCTGCCGATTTGGCATTAATATCAAAATGCTGGTTGTTTCAACTTTCATCAGACTGTCACAAAATACCTTCAATTTCAAGCTATCATGTTAGGAAAGTTAAATTACATGTTTGTCTCTGCTCTTGATACAGATGCTCTCTTCTCCAAGAAACTCATCAAATAAAAATGTATTAGAGCTATTACAGAGAACATGTTATCACAGTTTTCTTAATAGAAGCTTAATGTTACAAAGTTAAATGAAGGGATGATCATTATGAAGAATACAGGATTCATTATAGTCAAATTTATACAGTTTTTCTGCTGTGACTGAATTTTATTCAAATTTTCAGATCCCTTTGAGAATTTGTTTTTAAGTGTAAAGATCTTCATCAAAATATCTTAAATTTTTGTCTATGCAATATGGACTTTAACAGGAACTGACTTCAGTAACTACTGTTGCTTTATATCTTTATTTCTCACATGATTTTGTGCATTTTTTGTAGGATTACATAGAAAAGAGTAAATGGCATATTTGGATAGCTTTGCGCCAAATATTTCAGGATTATCTTTTTTTTCTTTCTGGCTTCTCTCTTTGCTAGAATCATTTGTAAATTTAGTCTTATCCCTCTGCTTCTGTGGTCTTTTCCTTTCATGTAATCTAATAGTAGCCTTCCCTTGCTCAAGTTTCTGTTCTCCCTGCTGTTGCCTGTTACAAATCTGGTAACTTAAAGGTTAGTTTAGTACTCTATTATAATGTACACCTTTTTCCAGCTATTCTTGGTCAGTATTTCAATAAAACTAGATAAACCAAGAAAATTCTAGATACCAGAAAGATACTAATACTGTGCCAATACTAAAAAGAACTAAGACTAAGTACTTGAAGCCTGCTTATCTTGACATCATTTCTGAGAAAGAAAGTTGGAAAACTGAGAGAGGAGTGAATTGAGAAGGACAAAAGGGTGCTATTATGCAACCGATTTTGCTTTGACAGAGTCAGTTTTATGAAACTTGATTTTTGTCTTTTGAAGATACTAATCTTCCCATAAAAATCTGACCATCAGAGCATCTCCTTTCTCAGTTTCTGTCTTCTGTAGCCACCAGTCATTTTCCTTGTATTCAATTCTAGCTTTAAAATTAATCAGAGGGCTTTTTCATTAGTATTTTTGCAGATGATTTACTCTAACCGAATAGAAATGTAACCCCTTGCCCAAACTACGTAACAACAAAGAACATAACCTCCCAACCCCTCCTCCCCCAACTTCTGGAATGGAATCACTTCCAGTGAGTCAGCTTTGTGGACCTTTACCTCCTGAGATGAATTTTGCAGAGTGCATATGGTGGCTTGAATATCTTGCTGGTAATATAGGATATAATAATATCCTTCTGAGAGAAGTATCCAGGAATATGTTCATTAAATCCCAATAATATGTTTGCTTGACATACTTATTTTAAAAGATCACACCATAAACCTGAATATGTTCTAGTTTAGAAGTAGTTCAGAAATAATTTATATATAATTTTATCCATGAAAATCTCCAGTAGTTTACTTTGTATTTGAGTGTTAGCTTTAAAAAAGCAGTTTAAATATTATTGTGGTAGTTG